GAGACGTCTCTCATAAACATTGCCTAAATAATGATGAGATAAATAATAATTTATAATGAATTATATATTTTCGAGAGAGAGAGAGGTCTGGACTTAAAAATTGTCTTTCAATTGACTGCTAAATACACGACTCGAGTGGAGAAGAGATATAAAAATAAAAAGTCTTTAACGAGAAGAAGAAGAGAAATCTTTTGCGAATGAATCACCAGTTCCTCCACAACACACAAAAACCCCTCCACTTCTTGTGTTTCAATGCCTTTTTCATACATACAGTGTTGTTGTCAATAGGTTTATAACATTTACCATTCATTTGCAATACCTGTTTGACTACCGGTGTGTGTGTGTATTGACTCGTTTTATACGCTTTGGCATCAAATTATGGGCGAACAGAGCGAAGACATTGTGTGTGTGTTTTGAAACATTGATTTTAATGCCCAGTCTTTTCAATCGCTTCCATAACAAAGACTTTTTAGATATTAGTATTAAATATAATTTGTTTCTCGTTTTTTGGCTATAAATAAACATGTATTTTGAGAGGTTTTAGAGTTGTTTTCCATTGAATTTTTGCATATTTATAGCCGTTTTGTTTGACAATTCACTTAATTTTAAATTATTAGTCGATTTTAAAGTATGATATCATCGTTTATGGAGATTATAATTATATACATTTCATATTGTGTTTTGTATACACTTTTCTCCCATTTCAGTGACAAAAATGATTGGAAATTTTGTTTTATGAAATCAGAAAATAGTTTTCATTTATTCTCATCGAGAGAGAGAGAGAGAATGTTATACAAGTAATAAAAATTACATAACACTTATGTTGTGTAAAACATTAATAGCTTTTTTGAGCGATTTTTTAAATGCAAAATATGTATTGAAAATTAATGCATTCAATTATCAATGGTTTAAATGTAATTCAATTTTTGCTCGTAATTGAGTTTTTTTCGAAATGCAATTAAGATTTTTTTTTGTAGTTAAGGGTTTTGCCGACCCTTTGATATTCAATCATCATTTTCTATCACTATCTAAACGTTAGCCGAAATTTTCATTCAACAAAAATAGGCTTACAATCAATCTGTTTGATAGACTTTTGTGGCAAACGATTGATAATTGTTTGCACAGATGGATAGGTTAGGGAGGATAGGGATCCCTCCGTCCGCCCCCTTTGACCCCAATTGTTTCACTAGTTTTAATTTGATAGCAATTTATTGTATTAATGATTTACACTCATTATATGCCATTGATATCTACTGTAAATATCTAACCCTTTTTGTGTATATATTTTTGTAACCCTTTTTTGATTACACGTATATTTAGTGCACAAATATTTACGAATAATTTAAATAATGGTTTTTCTCCACACCATATGTATAATGGGATGCATTCATAACAAGCAATGGTTTATATGGTATTAGTGTCTCTCGTTTTGGTTCTGAAAATCTAAATAAAATTACAATTAAATCTAATTTTGTCTCGAATTTACATTTTTAAAACTTATTATTAATTTTACTATTTATGTATTGAATAGTGAACTGAATTGTGAACTGTATAACCAGTGCTGGAATGTAGTGGTGGTCGTCGGGTGTGTCCCTCTTCTCTATTCAAAAGTTATTTTAAACGCATTTTATACACAATTTTACCTTTTTATTGTCATTCACACCAAGGCTTACGGCTATTGTCCCCATAAATGCATATTTGAGTGCTTTTTTATTCGGATAGTGAGAGTTTGGCGTTTAAAACAACCATTAAACTTATGAAATAACTAGTTTAGTTCTCTCTCTCTCTCTCTCTCTCTCTCTCTCTCTCTCGAAAATATATAATTCATTATAAATTATTATTTATCTCATCATTATTTAGGCAATGTTTATGAGAGACGTCTCTAAATATTTATATTAAATGCTAAGAAACAAAGTAAACACTTGTAGTCAATACCGAGATATACTCCGATGTTTGGAGAGAGAGAGAGAGCATAGGTAACCATCGCTGCCATCCATCGATGGTTAACGTAATGAGAAAAAATGGGCAGAAAATACAGTGGCGTTGAAACTGCTGTACGAGTGATACAAACACAGCATAACATGCAGTAATATTACAGTGCATTGAATGCATGTATTGAACGCTCGCATAGGGTTTGCAGGGAAAGGGACTGCAATTTGACGGCCACTGCGCTCTCCAATCGCTATAGAGATCGCAATACACAACACATTCACAACACATACAGTGAGTGAGAGCTAACTTCACAACACTTTTCACTCTTCAATATCAAAACAATGGCTGCAGAGCTGGTGCTCAAGACATCGACACCCACTCCCACGACAATCACATCCCACATATGAGGCCACGATTATCACCCAAGAAGTGTGAAGACAATCATCGATGATATATCTGCGGACCGACTGATCCGCTCATAAGACAGTGATTTTGTGTGACAACAGAAACCGTGTATTCATTGAATGGTTTCAATCATCGCATCCATTGATTGATTGTATTGTCTGTTTTGTATTAACTGTGAATGTATGGTATATACCGGTCGGCGAAGACATTTGGTCCGCCCGTGTGTACCGATGATGACCGACGGCGAGCCACTACTCTTGGCCGCCGACGCCCGACACCACCAACACATCCGTGCCATCCATTGAGTGACACATTGGCCACCGATTGGACGCCCGATTGGCTGCTGATTGTCGGCCATCGCCGACGGATGTGATGAGACAATTGCTTGTGATTTGATTGTTACCATCATTTTATCGTTTATTTATATGTTTATATCGTATTGTATTTGAAAATATATACATAATATTTATTATCAATTAATAATAACCACAACAACAACAACACCGCCGAAGAGATATGTCTAAAATGACACTCGAGTTGGGAATCGATGTCTCGACCCTTCCGACCGATATTCGGGAAAAGTTGGCCGAATTGGAGCTCGAATTGTCCGAAGGTATGGATCAACTCTTCATATGATTATTATCTCANGATTGTAAGCCTATTTTTGTTGAATGAAAATTTCGGCTAACGTTTAGATAGTGATAGAAAATGATGATTGAATATCAAAGGGTCGGCAAAACCCTTAACTACAAAAAAAAATCTTAATTGCATTTCGAAAAAAACTCAATTACGAGCAAAAATTGAATTACATTTAAACCATTGATAATTGAATGCATTAATTTTCAATACATATTTTGCATTTAAAAAATCGCTCAAAAAAGCTATTAATGTTTTACACAACATAAGTGTTATGTAATTTTTATTACTTGTATAACACTCTCTCTCTCTAACAGTAGTTCATTATCTGCGGGTTTACCCCTCAATGTGTTGATACCAATGCGAGTACACTATTATTATTATTTGTCTTTTAAGATACTGAACAACACTGTTGTTGAGATGTTATGTGTTTCAAAAGCCACAGACAGTCCCCCGATATCTGTCATTAACAAACATATTGATGGCTCCATTCACTGTCCCATACACTCAATATATTGATATTTTTGCTGATTATTTCAATTTTAGAAATTTGTATTCAATTTCCATTTTCGCCAATTAATGTAATTTAGTATTAAATATCGTATCACTTGTATTGACATAACTGGGAGTTTGATATTAATTTAATAAACAATTTTAAACAAATTGAATGAATGATTGAAAGCATCTATCGTTCACTTTTTTCTTGTGGCAGAGAGAGAGAGAGAGAGAGAGAGAGAGAGAGAGAGAGAGAGAGAGAGAGAGAGAGAGAGAGAG